TTGTTTTTTTGTTTGTTTATTTCTTTGTTTGATTGTTTCTTTGTTTGTTTTTGTTTCTTTGTTTGTTTCTTTAATTGTTTGTTTGTTTTTTTGTTTGTTTATTTCTTTGTTTGATTGTTTCTTTGTTTGTTTTTGTTTCTTTGTTTGTTTCTTTAATTGTTTGTTTGTTTTTTTGTTTGTTTATTTCTTTGTTTGATTGTTTCTTTGTTTGTTTTTGTTTCTTTGTTTGTTTCTTTAATTGTTTGTTTGTTTTTTTGTTTGTTTATTTCTTTGTTTGATTGTTTCTTTGTTTGTTTTTGTTTCTTTGTTTGTTTCTTTAATTGTTTGTTTGTTTGATTGTTTATTTGTTTGATTGTTTGTGTTTGTTTATTTGTTTGATTTTTTGTTTGTTTCTTTGTGTGTTTGTTTGATTGTTTCTTTGTTTTTTGTTTATTTGATTGTTTCATTGTTTGTTTGTTTCTTATTTTGTTTGTTTAGAGGAAACAGCTGACAGAAAGCAAAGAGAGGAAACTGAAGGACAAGATCCAGCTGCTGGAGGCCAGAACCGTGGATCTGGAGCTGGAAGCTGCTCAGAAGTAAAGCTCAGAGTTGTGTTGGACTCAGAGTCTCTCATGGTGGACTCGGAGTCTCTCATGGTGGACTCGGAGTCTCTCATGGTGGACTCGGAGTCTCTCATGGTGGACTCTGTGTCTCATGTTGGACTCTGTGTCTCATGGTGGACTCTGTGTCTCATGGTGGACTCAGTGTCTCATGTTGGACTCTGTGTCTCATGGTGGACTCTGTGTGTCATGGTGGACTCTGTGTCTCATGTTGGACTCTGTGTCTCATGTTGGACTCTGTGTCTCATGGTGGACTCTGTGTCTCTCATGGTGGACTCAGTGTCTCTCATGGTGGACTCAGTGTCTCGTGTTGGACTCAGTGTCTCGTGTTGGACTCTGTGTCTCATGTTGGACTCAGAGTCTCTCATGGTGGACTCAGAGTCTCTCATGGTGGACTCAGTGTCTCTCATGGTGGACTCAGTGTCTCTCATGGTGGACTCAGTGTCTCATGGTGGACTCAGAGTCTCTCATAGTGGACTCTATGTCTCATGGTGGACTCTGTGCCTCGTGTTGGACTCTGTGGACTCAGTCTCTCTCATGGTGGACTCAGTGTCTCATGGTGGACTCTGTGTCTCGTGTTGGACTCTGTGTCTCATGTTGGACTCTGTGTCTCATGTTGGACTCAGAGTCTCATGGTGGACTCAGAGTCTCTCATGGTGGACTCAGAGTATCGTGTTGGACTCAGAGTCTCGTGTTGGACAGATTCTCTCATGGTGGACTCTGTGTCTCGTGTTGGACAGAGTCTCTCATGGTGGACTCAGTGTCTCATGGTGGACTCAGAGTCTCTCATGGTGGACTCTGTGTCTCATGGTGGACTCTGTGTCTCATGGTAGACTCAGAGTCTCTCATGGTGGACTCAGAGTCTTATGGTGGACTCATTGTCTCTCATGGTGGACTCAGAGTCTCTCATGGTGGACTCTGTGTCTCATGGTGGACTGTGTCTCATGGTGGACTCAGATTCTCATGTTGGACTCTGTGTCTCGTGTTGGACTCATTGTCTCTCATGGTGGACTCATTGTCTCTCATGGTGGACTCATTGTCTCTCATGGTGGACTCATTGTCTCTCATGGTGGACTCATTGTCTCTCATGGTGGAC